GATCCCGAGTCCAAGTGAGTACGCGGCCACGCCTACCCCATCTAGGTGATATGAAGATATGTACCGGCCTCGAGAGTTGAAAAATCGTGGTGCTGGAAAAATGATGAATGTTTGAGAATGGATCGATACATATACGTTCATTAACGTGCTCTCTCTGACTTTACCATTTCCGCATTGACCAGCTTTTTGGCTTCCACGACTCTTCAGGACTGCAAAGAATGAACGCGGGCGAGACTTCGTAGTCACGCAATACCCAATTCTTCTCTATCAATTTATTCAAATAGAATCGGTAATGTACATGTAGTCGCAGCTAAATTGGTTTAGCTGTAGCTGAGAAAAGGTTTTTATGAATGGAAAACGTGAAATCCAATCATGACAGTCGGTGCGACGTTGCTTTTCATGTTCGATGCTCTACAATATTTTTTCAAGTCCAATGAAGTTCTGCTGTAGGGGAACCTCTTCGCTGTTGTATGCAAAGTAGGTGAAGCGAATTTGTAGTAGTTAGGCATATTTTCAAGGTGCTAAGGTTTGCTATCACAAGAATGCTGAGTTGTGGGTTGCATTCTTGTGATAACATTCGGAACGCGTACTGCGGCGTTCAAACAGCAGTTATCATAACAAAACAGCTAACGTTTGCGTTCTTTTACTCTTCTAACCACACCCTTTCTTCGTCTTCTGCACGTGCGAGCGTGACTCAGCATGGGGCTAGGGGAGTTTGGGTCGAGTTTTATTTTGCTTTCTTATTCAGTTTTGTGTTACTCGTCATCTAGACAGTAGTATTCGAGCCGCGCAACTCACATTTTTGAACGACGGACGTGACGTTCACTTTTTCACCATACTCGAAGGAAGTGATGGGCTGCATGCTTGAACTGACATCATTTTTAGTCTCATAAAACTTTACGCTGAGGGATTTCTTGGGCTTTCTAAAATTCCCTGAATGCTGCTCGAGATGTTATGTAAGTTTAAATAGCATGTGGATTTTCGCATGAGAATAATCATAAAACTCATTCATTCTTGTTCTCTTATTGCTCGAGAGTGACGTTACAACTGTTGACCTTCTATTCTAGGGGGAAACCCTGAGCTAATTCGTACCTCACAACGACAACGATACTGTGATCCAGCAATAGTCGACAAAGTCATCGCACTCGACCAGGCATGGAGAAAAGGTGAGTAGTTCACTGGACTTTCCTTAGGTGTTTCTTCACCATGCTGATATATAGTCATGACCCCTGCAAACAATAGGGCCTGTAAAAGGGGCGTGACTGTTGCGGACCAGGTTTACATCATTGTTGGGGAAGGCCGCTTTTACAATGCTCCAACCCTTGCCCTCTCACGCGCTCAGTCGCTTGCAGAGATCACACTGTACGTTGAACTATTGAATTATTTCATTTCAGAACGTTTCCTTTTGGACGTCCTGAATCGCCAAAAGAACGTGTTAAGCAAAGCTATCGGAGAAAAAATGAAGGTCCGTTCTCATGACTAATATTCCCTTTGAGGTGTCGTAATTGTCTTAGTTACAGAAGAAAGAAAATCAGGGAACCGATGAAAATGTTGACGATTCAATCGTTTCAAAATTGGAGTCTCTAAAAGTGGAGGACCTCACCGTGAGTTCGATCTTTGTTTTGAGCGAATTGCTCCTTATTCCTTTTTTACGATAATGCAGCCCTAGTTACGATGTTCTTATGATATGAACTGGCCAGTGTCGTCTATTTTTTTTGTTGCCGCCGGAACAAGATAAGCCAGAGATGAGGAGTGATTTTTCTCTCACATGAGTGTAGTTTCAAACTGAAAAGTAGTTCAAAATGGAGAGTGCGTTCATACTTCGCGATCCGATCGCTTAAATCATGGGTTCCGATCGATTTGTGGGCGACGACTGTGCACGGTTGATGCCGATCACAAGCCTCGCGCGCTTAACAAATTGATGTCAACTGTGCGGATCCGTGCTAACTTACTATTGGCGATCGATCGGATCGCGCGATCAAGCGGTCGGATGGTGTAGTATGAGCGCGACAAAAAAAGGCAATGAAGGGGGTTACCACAGTTTTCAAGCGTGATTGATGTTTCTTAGCTAGTGGCGATTTGAGCCCACATAGGAGACCTCAGGCCATGTCAAGGTTAAAGGCAGTGGGCACGATTGTGGAGTCGGGCAGTTGTACAAGTGTCATTGGTGGAAGGGCTGCCAGACGGCGTTTGGACACACTCCTGTCCTTCCTTCCACCAATGATGTTGGCGACAACCGCCCGCCCCAGCGATCGTCCCAACAGCCTTTGGACGAAATGTCGAATTCCAGGTTCTCATTTGTTCGGAACTGTTTCAGGCGCTCACGGTAGTCCAAATCAAGAAGCTTCGTGTTCTGCTGGACGAAAAGATGAATGAAACGAAGGTTTGGTGGACCTTAAGCTTACATTTTTCTGTGAACCAGTATCAGTAGGAAGTTTTGTTGTGTTTAGGCTTCCATGGAACAGTTAGAGGAGGATCGGCAGCAGTCGCTGGTACAAATTGGAAACATTGTTCATCATAGCGTTCCTGTATCGGACGATGAAGCAAACAACAGGGTTGAGCGCACTCATGGTGACATAACAACTCGCAAGAAGTATTCCCATGTGAGTTAGCTGTTCTTGGCCTGGTCATTGCATTTGGATTTGGTTACTAACTGAGTTACATTCAGGTTGATCTCGTGGTTATGATTGATGGTTTCGATGGCGATCGTGGAACTACAGTTGCCGGTGGCCGAGGCTATTTCTTGAAAGGACCACTTGTTTTTCTCGAACAGGCCATTATTCAGCTTGCTCTGCAAAAGTGAGATCTAAAGTGCTGCTTAAGCGCATTTTGTAACGTTTACGATTTATTTTAGGCTAGGTGAGAAAGGGTTCACACCGCTCTACACGCCGTTTTTTCATGCGTAAAGAAGTCATGCAGGAAGTGGCCCAGTTGAGTCAAGTTTGACGAGGAATTGTACAAGGTTTGTGCACATTGGGTTTCAGCTCCGTTTCTTTCTTTTTTTTCAGTTTTATTCCAATGATGTAGCTAACCAATTGGTATAGTAGAATGGATTGCACGTAAAACCTAGGAAAGCCCTAGATTTCCCAAGTTACGGAGCAATTTTGTACCCGTGAATGTCCGAAAAACTAACCCGATTCCCCAATGTGACTCTTATCGTCAGAATCTCCGATATCGTTTCCATCAATCCTGTGCTTACTCTTTTCGTGATATATAACCGAAACAGACGCAGCAACGAAACGCGCTTGAACGCACGCTGCAGTGATATATCTTTCCCCCTTATCCCACCAACAAAAGTTACGTCAAGCCAAGCGGATTGTAACAGGGGAAAAATCCAGACGCGAAACAACGCCGCAGCCGGCCGGGGGAACCATTAAAACTATATGCGAACATACTCTCCCCCTGCATCGACCGAAGTGTGGTTCTCATGAAATTTCCCAAAATTAATGTCTGTGCCCTGTATTCCTCTCCTTCAACTGAAATAGACAGTTCCTGGTCAGTGCTTACTTTGGTCGTTGCAAGTTATTGACAAAAAGCGCGAAATCTAAGATTCCTGACAAAGAGGTCGTGAAGTAGGCGGGGACCACATGTTATATGCTTTTAATTTCCACCTAAGCTACAAGTTTCCAGTGAACTTCTGAATGTGGGAGGAAAATTGCAACACCTCAATCCGCTGCAAGTCCTTGCTCCGCACCATCTTGGGCAGACGCCCACCTATTAAGTGACCTGTTACCTTGAGCATACAGTTGTGCCTGTTTTATAAGAAAGCTGTAAGGAGGCAGTGCTAGTTCATCTAAGAACTTCTTTACGGTACGGTTATTTGAGTCAGTATCTTAATGCAGCTGAATCGCAAATTTTCTAGTTTTCAGATAGCTTTCTTCTCAGCAGACCACCTTCCATGGCCTTTTCTCTAATTTCTCGTAAACAGTGCATTTTGAAAATTGTTCCTTTTTTTAATATTTACATTTTCTAAGTAACCCTTATCATGTGCGATATTTCGCTAAAGAAATTTTATGCAGATGTAAACGTGGGCTTTTCTCAGGTTCACAGCAAGGGATCTGAAGTGGCTGGCGATAACTCAATAGACGAGAAGTATCTCATCGCCACATCAGAGCAACCGATAGCCGCATTCCATAGAAATGAATGGATTAAGGTTGAGCTACTACTTCTCATTTTTTATTACATTAGTATGAAGACCGCAAAAATTTCACATACTACCTGATTTCTGCTTCTTTAGGAGTCTGATTTACCCATCAAATACGCCGGTATCTCAACATGTTTCCGCCAAGAAGTTGGAAGCCATGGAAGGGATACTAGAGGTATCTTCAGGTGGGCTAGTGTGTAGCTAGAAACACGTCCTTTTCTAAGTTTTGCTAAAATGTAATCAATATGGCATTCATCTTTCTCAGGGTTCACCAATTCGAAAAGGTCGAGCAGTTTGTAATTTGCTCACCTTTGGACAACGAATCGTGGAAGATGTTCGACGAGGTTGAGCTCTTATCAAGTAACTGTTGCAATGTAATCTCTGAAAAAAAAAGAATGTTTTCAGATGATATATAACGCTGAGGAATACTGTCAACTGTTGGGAATTCCATATCAGATTGTATGCATTGTATCAGGCGAACTCAATAATGCAGCGTCAAAGAAGTGTGTTTTATTGTGGTTTTGTCTTGCTTATGGGGTGTGAGCAGATTTCAGTGGTCTACCTATCGGCTCATCAGACGCTATCCCAGTAAGATCGGTTATTTCAAAGACATTCCCTGCGCTCAAGCAGTTCGTATGCGCCCTTCTTTGTTCAAGTGGTTTGGTCAGCCGTCTAAGGCTGTCCCTTTTTCGCGGCTTCACAGCAAGAGACCAATTGTATCCCTCATAATTGGCAGCACTGACGCCTCCATATTTGCCCCGCCCACCAAAACTCGAACAATGTTTCGCGTCGCGAGTTCTCATCTTACATCACGTTTTTCGTTTTCATTTCACTGTTCATGGTATCAGTTATGTTGCGCGAATAGATGACTAATGACCCGGAAGGGGGAGGATATCACTTTGCTGGCATAAAACGAGTAGCCGAAGAACTCGTCCAGGCCGCTAGGTTCTTATTAGGGTGTTCTCCATAATTTTTTTTCTCTGAATAGTCACGTGGTGACTACAGGTTTGTAATGGAACCCCCACACAATCGCGGGGTTTATCTCTGGATGCCTCAGCTCTTTAACAATTCCCAAGATTTTTTCAATTTCAGCAATTTTTCCCAAGCTTTGCATTCCGCTTTTGTTGTTTGCCACTGGATTGAAGTTTTTTTAACAAGGCGACATAGTAGTATTGAACGCTTTCCCTGTTGGCTTCATTATTGCCCATTTGGCTATTCAAATCATTGCAGCGTTGGAAAAGCTCGCCACTGGCTCTGTTTGCTTACTTTATGACGAATAATGGCTTTTCGGGGGAAGGTGGTGTTGGGAAGTGGTCTCGCTTGCTACGCGCGGCCAACAGAAGGGGTCTTGAATCAATTCTCATCTGGACTACTTCACTCTTACGTCCTTCGGTAGTAGTGGTATCATGCTCGTCTGGGGGGGAGGGGGGGGGGAAACTCTATTTGCCTGGGACTCGCAACCCATCATTTAGCGAGTCGCATTTATTATGCCATGATTGTGAATGAAAATCAGAAGCACGGCGCGTTCAGAAGGTTGTTGTAAGAAACTTCAACTTTTATCACGTAATAGATTGTCTACTTATCACGTAATGCACTCACACGCTAAGCGTGAGTGTGGGTTCGAGTCTCGATTGGGATCTCATTTTTGCTCATAACTCACCATTCTTGTATTAAATCTCAGAGCCTGAGCTGCGGCGCTAGGGCGCAGTCATCATAATAAAAACATCTTCGAAAATGATT